TTTCCCCCAAGAAAGACATTTTGTGAGAGATGTTTTTAAAATTCCAAATGAATCTGCTAGCCCTGCAAAGATCATTGAGCAAAACTCCCCTAGATGGAGAAAACTGTCTTGGTGCTTATTCTCTTCTCAACAAAGTATTTGCAGCATATCTCTCCATAATTAGTTGAGGACCCAATTTAACTGAGCTTCAATGAAGAATTTTGACCTTAATATCTGATAACTAATGAGAGTCTTGTAATGTCTTGTGGAATATTCTGGAGATCCTGAATGTAAATTATGAATGTGAAATTCATTGCCAGCCAGTTTAGTATATACAGTATAATATATGCATTACAATTGTGTTTCTTAAGGAATGTCTTAAAGTTAATATTTTTTTATTGACAGAGCTGTAAGGATAATAAAAGTCATGAATGTATGGGTATTTTATGAAAATGTTTAATTCAACTGTTTCTTTGGAATGTAGTAGTCATTGTCTGCAAATTTAAATTACAATTCAATTCTTTTTTTTTAATGCTACTCAGTGTCCGAGAATACAAACGTCATTTAAAGTTAAGGCTTTGCTGTTCATTTTGAAATAACAATTTAAAAGTGTCATATTGTCATAGAAAATAAAAAATTTCTGTAAAAAAATTTGCACAAAATTTATAATGATACAAAACATGAAGCAATAATATACCAGTAAAATGAAATCATTTTACTACAGAAGAAATTTTATAGGTTTTTTTTGATAAAGAAAAAATATGTTATTTTACACTTTCAAAATTATGAAACAATCTAAAACAATATAAACTGAACATTTTGTAACACTGCCTTTACAAATTAATAACTTTATAAACATATAATTCTTAAATATATTTTTCAGTGCAAGATTTTTTTTTCATTTAAAGTTGCAGTATCATTTTTTTTTTCTTTTGCTGAAGGGCAGTTTTCATTCAATTTCTGTTTGACGACATCGGTACCCAGTGTTCTGCTCCAGGATTAAACAGCTACATCACCGGGGTTTCCTTATTTTGCTTATACTGTTAGCAATCTGGCTAAGTTCACATATCTGCTCTGGCATATTTGCTCAGTGCTAAAAAAAATAATAAAAATTAAAACATTCTGAACTTTGCTTTCTATGATGTTGTAGTACTACAATTACCAGATGCCTGGTCACAGATTCTTCTTTGCTTGGAGAACAGCATTAGGATGGAATTACAAAATGAAAGTTTGCAATGGGCTATGCTTTTGTCTTATATGCCTTCATTGGCTTAAGTTAACTACACATTTTGAAACCAATGGAGGATGCACAGTGGTGATATCATGTGGATTGTGGCCAAAACTTTTCTGTTCCAATGACAAGAAAACAACTAAACCCACAGCCATTTAAACAAACTCAAATAATTTTAAATTAGCCTATTGTTCCAAAAATGTGATTTTCCTTTTAACTAGGGAAAAAAATAAAAGCTATATGGAGGGCCTATTCATGCTGACATGTTTATATTATCAGAGGAAAATGCTTGTGTATGCGTTCTTTATATACAGTATGCAACTGGACTGTATTTTCCTTAAATCTTGCTGAATACAGTGGGACATACTGGGAATAAAGATTAACAGGACTGTATCTTTAGATTAAGAATGTGACACCTGTTACTTGTTGTCAACTGAAAATTGTACTACAAAATCATTGGTCTAATTAATTCAGGTTAATGAAAATTGAATCAAACGTCTGGACAGTCACAAATTCTCCATCCCCCTTATTATTCCCCTGATGGAATGAAAATGCCTACTTTGGGTTCTGTACAAAGCCTAACACATTTGTTTGTGTTAAATAAACACAATGATGGCATGGATTATACTAAACTCAAAAGTGGTGATTGGGATGGTTCACACATGTATGCTTTTCAGCTGTTTTAAAGTAGCATAATGTGTCTATTCTCATTCTTGAATCTATGATGCAGCTTTCATATTATTCATATGAACTTAAATACAATGATCTTCAGTAAAGAGGGTTTTTACAGAATAGACTGAAAGTAACTGAAGAGCTGAATAATGAATTGATAATATCCACGGGTACATCTTTTCATACATAAATTCAGTTACCAGCATATCTTGTTTTAAAAACATTTCATTACAAGTGAATGAAGAAAGATGAGACTTAATTTGAGAAATCCTGGAAATTGCTGCCCATTACAATAGTCAATACCAAGTTACATAGCCTGATACAGGTAGTCCTCAACTTACAACTGTTCATTTACTGAATTGTTCAAAGTTAAACAGCACTGAAAAATGTGACTTATGACCATTTTTCACAGTTATGGCCTTTGCAGCATCCCCATGATCATATGATCAAAATTCAAATGCTTGGCAACTGGTTCCCATTTATGACCATTGCTGTGTCCCAAGGTCCTGTGATCAATTACCCTTGGCAACCTTCCGACTAATAAAGTTAATGGGGAAACCAGATTCACTTAACAACCATGTTGCTAACTTATCAACTGCAGTGATTCATTTAACAACTATGGCAAGAAAGATCCTAAAATGAGGCAAAACTCACTTAACAAATGTCTCACTTAAAAATAAAAAATTTGGGCTGAATTGTAGTTGCATGTTGAGGACTACCTGAAGTCTGATTTATAGGCCACAGATTTAGTTCATATGTGCACAAATTATTAAAAATCCTTTTTCCATACCAATATTAATATTGTATATGTTACTTTTTGAGTTCTAGAAAGTACATGCAATGAAATCTGCCCCTCTTAAATAATGTTTGTATGCACTTTTATCACAGATCTTAAGATGCCTATGTGATTATTGACATAGAGTCAATAATACACGATGCAGCTAAATATACATGAAAGAAGTGCAGTAAAAATTATTTGCATTTGATGTTCTCTTTGGGATAATTAACTAGTAGAGCATTCAATTACAGTGTAAATTGGATTACTAAACAATTGATTCATATACTCTTTTGTCACTTTGATTTTTTTTCATGGTAGATGAAAATAAACCTTCTTTGGATGATAACTCATATTTACAACAAAGAGAGCAGGATTGTTAAACATTTGCTGTGGTGTAGTGAACACCAGCTGTTTTTAATCAAGGTGCTTTTGAATACCACGTAAAACAATGTGACAAAATCAGTTTATGGTGCCCTGAATGCTTGTTATGATTTAAGATCTTTAACAGTTAACTGTGTCAAGAGTTAACTGTGTCTTTTGGAGATTAACTTAATTCTTAAAACATGGCTACAGTTGTCAGTTTCTTTTCATAGACATTACTTTTCAATAAGAGGAAATACATAAGTTGTACAGACTGTGCTGGCTGAGTGAACGGAAGGACCACATGGCCCCCAATTCCTTCTCATCAGAATGTTAAGAGTACTCATTTTAAATCCAGTTTAGGATATGTTATACAATGATTTTTTTAAAAAGCAAATCCATTATTAGCAAAGACAATGCATTACTACTTGTAGCAATATTAGTATGCTTCTACATTAGCATGAATGAGTCCTGCGCAGAAACAATTACCCTTAAATTGGATAGCTAGGATATGGATGGGAAAAACACTCTTTGCTCTTCAACATCAACAACAAATTCTCATTGCCATCGATTTATATGAACATCTTGGACAGAATTAAAAGACTTACTTCATGGCTTACTAAAGGAGAGAGAAAAAAAGATAATGTCAGTTAATGCTGCTAAAAAGAAACCCAAAGATCAACTCTGGAAGGTAACATTAAGACATATCCCCTATTTTAAAATACAGCAATAAATGAAAAGACAAAAATGTAACAAAATCCTCTTTTTTTGCCATTACCAGCAAATTAGAGCTGCATTTTCCTTACCTTGACAATGGCAAATACTTATGTAACAATCTATTCAGAGACAGAAGAGGGGAAAAGCAAAAGACAGAGAGGCCTTATATTTGAAAATACATTCTGTATGAAAGAAGAGTAAAAGGTAGAAGGACAGGAACAAAACTGCAGCTTTTTAGAAAAAGTGGGTTCAGCAACATGAAATTGAAAAATTTGAAGCAAAGGAATTAGCTGCAAGTTGCCAAGGTTTTGTTAGCCCTTGCTGAGAGAGAGAGAGAGAGAGAGAGAGAGAGAGAGAGAGAGAGAGAAGGATGACAAAGAAGGAGTTGATGATAATCCAATGAGGAGAAATACAACTAAAAGGCACTTGAAAAGACATAAATGAGCCAGTGCCAAGGACTTTTGCTTTTTTTTTCCTCATTACAATTCAATGCAGGATGCCTGGTTTGCCAATTATTTGTAGGTGATGGCACATATCTTTTGTATGGAATTCACAAGCACAAAGGTGGAGTACAACACTGAGAAACACCAATAAATTCTGACCGTATTGCTTGGTTAACAGAGTTGACACACTATACCAGTACTGACCATACAGTACTTCCCCACCCACCCCCAAAACAAACACCCTAACCCTCCTTTGCCTATGCACAACACAAGCAATTATACACAAATACAGTATCAGGAATCCATTAAATGCTGTTACTCTGATATTTTTCCTTCTGGGCACTCAGCTACAAACAGGATGTCCATCCAATGGATTCCTGCCAAAATACATGTCTTGACAGCATCTTGGATTTTTGCACAGTAAAAAAACCAAGGACTTATGGGCCCAGGGTGGGGTGGGGGAGACAGAAGGAAAGAAAAAGAAGAATGGAGGGGCTAAGGGAAGAAGAAAGAAGAAAAAAAGGCAGAACCAAAACAGAAAACCCCTCTTAAATCAATCATACTTGGTCTCAACACCAGCATTTGAATAGTTTAAATTAAAACAGAAACAGAAGTAGACTGTACATGATTCAGATTGTTTAACACAGATTCTTGTCCATGTCTTAGAATATCTGGTACACCCACTGAAGCTCCTGAGAAAAGCTTGGCTCAGCGTCATCAACGCAGTTTTCAGCCTGTACAGAAAAGGGAGATCTATAAGTCTTTCTGTCTAAATTGTTTGAAATGTTTGAGCTCCTCCTCCTCCTCCTCCTCCTCTACCTCATGCTTCTGAATAAGTATTCTGTGTGTTCAGTTTATCCTTTTTTAATTTAACCCCATCCACAAGTTCAAAATTGTAGTTCTCCAGTGCAGATAAGTTTCTATCGGACATCCCATTGTGCCAACAGGCGCAGTACAGAATAACCCCACAGATGGCACCAAGCAGCACACCCAGGGCACTCATAGCGATGATGGTGATGAGAATGGGGTCAAGTGTTTTCAGCACATTGCCTGGCTTTCTGGAAATGTTGTCATTATAAGGCTCCCCATTTTCACGGTAATCAGGAGTAAATCCTACAGAGGAACAAAGAGACACAGAAATCATGGAGTGGTAGGATAGCCAAAGCTGGGTAAATAGGGCCCAGTAAGAAAGATAAGAAGATAAACAAGCTTAAGTGGAGATGTGAGACAATATTATAAATTTATGACTTAAGTTGGTCACTGATTCTGATGAATTGGAAGCCTCTTCATTTCTCAGCATTCTTGTACGCGTGTGTGTGTGTGTGTGTATTGCTATATTTCCTAATATCTGAGAATATATATTTTCATCCTCATTTAGGCACTAAACGTAGTGGCTAAAATTTAGGCATTGAATTAAGAAGCTGATTTTTGTTTTGCTTTTTTTACATTTTACACCTGCACCGGAAGAGGAGTTATGGGCTAGGTTGTAGAAAATGCTTCATCTCCAATTTCTTGTCAATGGAAATAGAGAAGTCTTTTTTTTTCCTTTTTCCAAAAATTGGAACAAATTTTGGAAAATTGGAACATCTGTCTTTATCCTGTTATGTGACACAGGAAAACTAGGTAAAATTCAAATTATATAGCAGTTTAGAATAGTGCACTGCAGAAAAATTCTACATTTGATTTTGTGAAATAGAATTTGGTCCCCTCCCTCAAAAAAAAACACCCTTCCTTCCTTCCTTCCTTCCTTCCTTCCTTCCTTCCTTCCTTCCTTCCTTCCTTCCTTCCTTCCTTCTTTCCTTCCTTCCTTCCTTCCTTCCTTCCTTCCCTCCCTCCCTCCCTCCCTCTCTCCTTCCCTCCCTCCCTCTCTCATATATCCTCATCTTTTTCTATGAAGGTGCAGGCAGCTGGAAAAACAAATTTTACCAGATGTCTGCCCCATTTACTTGCAGAGGTGGCCTTGAAATAGCTCTATTCTAAAGGTTTAGGAATTAGCAGTAGTTGATGTCAGATATTTACTATTTTCAGGCTCAAGAATTTCAGATTTAGGTGATTGAGCAATGGTCTTGAGATCCTCTGAATCTTCTGCATAAATGATTTAGGAGACATTTAAAATATATGATAAGAAGCTTTGTTTAATGTCATCTTTTGCCTCTCCCCCTTACTCAAATGCAATTATGGAGAGTCAGAGAGATTGCAATTTGATTCTCCAATGTTTCTTCCTGAAGAATAAAAAGTTTAAATTTAAATCTCCAGCAAGATGTAAGGAAAATACTTCTTTGATTTGCCACTACAATACATTCTATTATTGCAACTGCTGATGTGTTTGAAAATGGTTATCCCAAAGGTGCTGTTTCAAAAGGCAACTAGACTTTGTTTTTCCTTGAAGACATTTCACTTCTCATCCAAGAAGCTGCTTCAGTTCTGAAGAGGTTCTAGGATGAGAACTGAAGAAACTTCTTGGATAAAAAGGAAAAATAAAGTCCAGTTGTCTTTTGAAAAAGCACCTTTGGACAACCATGACCTGGATGACTGAGAACCTCCGTAGATATTTGAACATGGCTAAAACAATATAAGCATTGGATATTGATGAATTTGATATAATCCTCTTTAAAAACCTACATTTTATTATTGGTTACTATATTATTTGTGTTTATTCCTACATTAAAAAAAATCTAAAACATGTCAAAATATTAAATGATATAAGCAAACAGGCATGTTAATAATAACTGTATGACTTTATTAGACTGGTCATCTATATAAGGTGGATGGATTTAGTTGCAGTGGTGATGCATATGCCATTGGAAAAGGAGTAGGTTAGGGACATATAGAAAAAAATCCTATATGATTGCTAAGAGACAACACCAAGTTGTCTTCTCACCAATCAGCCATCTATATAGGTTAAAAATAAATTGAAATGACACTGATTCACATGAAAACCAATTTTTAATTTTTAATTAAAATATATATTTTACCTGTTTGATTAATATCTGGTTCTACTTCAACTACTTCATTCCCTGCAGCATTTGATTCTATTAAGCAAAGAGAATTGACATTGATTATCGTAATGACAAATACTTACTGGTTATCATACTGCCAATAATGATACTGAGAATTTTTCTTCCTTTTCTAAGCGTGATTATATTGGTTTGACGGAGTTGTTCATTAACCTGGTTTTTCCAAAATTAACAAAGAAGAAAAAAGCCTTTTCTCTACCATAGCATGGCACACTTTTAGTGCTATCAACTGGGAATTTTTGTTTCAGATAAATGAAAATCCACATATAAAATTGGCATGTTTCATTCATTGCATTTATAATCTTGGAATCCAATGCTATTAATCAGTCATAAGTATCATTTAGCCATGGAAAATAATTATCTTAACTGAAGTGCATGCATAAGGATATTAGAATAGAAACCTGCTGTTTAAACTCTTCTTTCATAAGACTTTGACCTGAATGACCAAAATCATATGAAATTAATTCCCAAATTAGTAGATGACCCATAGTAACTTTAGTATCAATATTTTCACTCAGACCTTTAAGGTTAAACTATTTTGAAGATTTCAACTGTACTAATTTTGGTTGGTTTTAATTTTTGTAGTGTTGAACAGCTTTATTGTTGTCCAGTGGTTCTCAACCTGTGGTCCGTGGACTCCTGGGAAGGTTTGAAGAAATGTTATGATTTAAATCAGTGGTCCCCAACCTTTTGGACATCAGGGACTGGTTTCCATATACCGGAGGGGACATGGTTTTGTGTGCCACCTGCATCCCACGGACAGTTGAGGACCCCTGATTTAAATCTTGAGTTAATTATTGGGGGTCCATGGCCAAAAAAGCTATTTAAAGGAGGTCCGTGGTGAAGAAAAGGTTGAGAACCACTGTTCTGTCCTCCCTGGGATTGGCATCAATATCATAGGATTACAGCTGCACCAACAATTACTTTTATGACAGGTCAACTTATATCTATTTTAAGCATATGGTAGACTTAGTTAGTGTGTCCATACTCAAGATCAGCTATGAAGCTTACTTAAGCTTATTTAAGCTTAAGCTATCCAACATCAAGCATGTTTAAACTTATTGAAATCACCTAGTTTTGCACAGATCTAGGCTTTTGAGGTAACTTGTTCACAAGAGAAATATGAAAGACATATGGTAGGAAAAAAATAAAGGTAAATCAACTACAGATATATAGAATCCAACATTTGTTAAGAAGATTGTTACAGCCTTTATGTTATATATAGGTATAATCTCTGCCTTGAGTATTTATTAAAAAGGTGGAAATAAAAATGTAATAGTAACACTAACAATCACCAGAAGAATTCACAGTGTTCAGTATGGTAAATTTTATAGTTACCATCAAGTCATACTTACTTCGGCATTCTTCCTGTGTTATGTGGCTGTCAAAGTTAATATCATCAACTGCAATTCCTCCATTTCCCTTTCCAATTTCTCCTTCCACCATTACCTGATAAAAATAAATTACATTTTGCTGGTTAATGGCCAGCAAAAATGGCCAGAACAAAGACTAGTTATTGAATCTTTAAGCAAGCATACAATGAAGAGACCAATCTTCTGTTATCATTAAAGGCTCAAGATGTCATATGAAAGTACCATTTTATGAAGAAACAACTCTATCAGAGAAAGTGCAGTTTTACCCTCAGGGCTAAGTGTAAAACAGATTGCATTGTTGTGCGATAAATCAGCATTCAGAGATCCATACAGTTATAATTAAATCTTTGTAGGTTTGCATATTCTCAGTAATTGGTATTGAGAATTTTTTACAGAAGTAGCTAAGAAGGACCATATTTCCCTTTATTTAATTCTGTTATCATGTGGTGGATTAAATTATCCTTTGGGATTGAGGCCATTTTAGATGCATATTCTCTCAAAATGGCTGCTATGGGATTTACCAAAAGGCAAAGTGAGGTTGTTCATTCTTTTCCTTAGTGATCTGGGATGCTTTTTGCAACCCCAACATAATTTTCCTTTACTGTTTTTTTCTGCGGGTGAAGATACTACTGAGCAACTCTCATACATTATTTTATTTTCTAAAAATACCTGTGGGACCTATGTAAGCTTGCCTCCCATTTTTTTTATATTAAAAGAACAAATAAAAGCTGTGGAGTCTTACTGGCCCCCCATGTGAGCACCACTTTGTGGAATGGGAAGAGGGAGAAGGAAAAGATAAGAGATTTCCCCAAATATAGCTGAGCTACAAACCACAGTTAAAAAAAGAGTTATTTTAAGCTTCAAATGAAAATACCCAGAGTGGTTAAACCAAAATGTTATGGAAGATATGATCAAAGTGCAGGTGTCTCACCATCTGATGGATGGTGTTGATGAAAGGCGTCTCCTGCAATGGAAGACCCTCTTCTGGGAGATTCTCCTGTTGCCTTTAAAGCAATTCTTTAAATATATTTACATGTTAAGATGTTTAGCTATAATTCTGTATTTTTCTTGGCTTATTTTTGACTATATTTTTCATAATATAGATTCATGTATAAAATATTAAATTATAAGTAAATTGGCTCACAGAAAGTATTTTTCCCTCCAAAACAAATCACATAAGGAAGAAAATGAAAGCACAACTGCATTCATCTGTAGATCAGATACCTTAGGTATAGATGGCAAGTTCATATTTAATATGGAGTGATTAATTCAAACTTTGCTTCTCCCAAATCAAAATAGTGTAAATATAATTAGGTATGATGATTATGTCTGTCTTTTGCAACCTAATGCTTCATAGGCATGTTGAGTCTCTCAGTGCAGTTTTTGAATGTCATGATTAGGAACCCGGGAAGCTGTCCCCTCAGCACATCAGGAAAGCATCACATTGGGAAGTTGTTTCATATTAAGTGAAATAAACATCAATATTGCCAATCTTTATTGAAAGCAGATCCTTGGGTCTTTCCCACTCCTGAGATCCTTTTAAGACAGGAATAGTCCATCTATGGATTTAGGGCAACCCTAGCATCTATGTTTAATTACAAAAGCCTTTTGCAAATAATTGGATTCAGACCTATGGAAACAGCAATGGTGCCATCCACCAGCACTCCAATGGGCACGAAGGAAGGAGCATTAGAAATAGTGTGATGGAAAGGAATGCAGAAGGTCAGGAGGCGTCAGCCTTTCTAGGCAGACCAGAAAAGAATTATGACCAAGTGAACTAATTCTATGTTATTGTAAAGCTGTGTTAACAGAATCTTGCAAGTCTGAAAGTACAAATCTCACCTTGTGTCCTTTGAAGCCTAAGAATTTGTGGTGTGTGTGTGTGTGTGTGTGTGTGTATTTATATGTGTTCCTGCTGAACCTCTTTCTCTGGCCATTGTGCAGCTATGAACTATGTCCTTTCTTATCTGGCTTTTTCTAAGGCAGCATTTGTCTTCCCCCTCATTTCCAAACTCATTCCTACATATCATTATAGCAGGAGACCTTTTGTTTTGCATGCAGGAGGTTCACTTCAACCACTTCAACCCTTAACCAATTACTGTTAAGGTTTAGTTTTCTAAACTAGGGTTTAGAAGTCTAAATTTTATTCACAGCTAGTGCGGGGAAAAAAAGAGGAAGAGGAGGAAAGGGATGGGAAAGAGAGGAGGAGGAAAAAGAGAAAGAGGAGGAGAAAGAGAAGGAGGAAAAGGAGGAGGAGGAGGAAGAGGAGAAGGAGAAGAAGGAGAAGAAGAAGAAGAAGAAGAAGAAGAAGAAGAAGAAGAAGAAGAAGAAGAAGAAGAAGAAGAAGAAGAAGAAGAAGAAGAAGAAGAAGAAGAAGAAGAAGAAGAAGAAGAAGAAGAAGAAGACGACCATCCTTTTCAGCTAGCATATTTTTTTTTCTCTGTTTCTAAGTAAACCTGACTCACTTAAGCTCAAGCTTTGGCTGGAACCCTGTGATCACTGCATTAGTATCTTAACCAAACTCAGGTCTCTGTTGCTCTAGTTCTTATTTTATTTCTGAAGCTTCCCCACCCCCCACGCAAGACAACTTAACGTGGGGCTTCAGTCATGCACAATGCATGGAATGCTATTGACCCAGCCTTCTTTTATGCTTAAATTTCTTGGCCTACCTGATAATGTTTCACAGATTTGTGGAGAAAAACCCGGCCTTCCTTCCAGCAGTTTCCCTGATTTCCATTTGGTGTCCATAAGACCCGATCGTATTCTTTAGGTATCTGGTACCGCAGTTTGATTCTTAGTGTGCCGACGTGAGGGCCCGATATATGATACCAGAAAGTCATGCAAAGGGCATAATTTTGCAGATTGATGATAGGGCTGATGAGGCGGACAATTTTGCCTTTCTGGTTTTCATCAGCTTGGGAATAAATAAAATTGCCATCTCCTATTGTGACAAAACACTGCATTAGACACAATGACCCAGTTTGACTCCCTTTAATCTGATAAACTTCAAGCATTACAACATGAACAGGCTTTTTCTAAGGAGCTGCAACTGAAAGCTTACTGAAAAATATCTTGGCATGTATGGCTATGCTTTCTCATCCTCTTCCAGCAAACTGAAATTAGTTAAGGCACGAACTTTCCTGATTTTCTAAATGGTAAGGCATCATTTTAGTAACAGTATGGAGAGATTCTTAAGAAACAATGTGCTGTGTAGTAAGAGTGGAGATATTAAGATGTGTTTCTGCCCAGATCGATTCATCCCATCCAGTTTTCATTTGTGCTGTATGTATTTCTTTCAAGGTAAAACACTTATAAAATATGTACATATTTGAAATGCAATTTGTCATTAAAATATACTCTTTGCATGGAGCTGTAGTAAGTTATTGAATGGGAAGCTGCATTAAACAAGTAGAAGAACAGATAATTCTCCCTCTCAATTACTTTGGAAAGTGAATGTTTGCTTTCAAATGTGGACTGAATAATATTCTGAAGAATCTTTTAGCTGTAGCTTCTTCTGTACTTTAAAGCAAGGGAAACCATGAAAGTTATTGTTAATGTTGCCACCAGACCACAAATTCATGTCTTTAGATCTCCCCAGACACATGGGGAAGTACAGCAACCCCATCTTCATCAACATCCTCCTTCCATTTGCTGAGTAAAACCCAGGATTTCTCTTTGCATTCATACTGTGTCGGAAGCACCAAGGCATTTCTGGGCTGCAAGGATTAGCCAGTGACATCACCATTGCTCAGGGGATGACCGATCGGGGGCTCCTTTCATGTCCCTGTTAATCTGCCCACCTGAGAGGTACTTACAATTGCAAACTTTCAAACTGCTTGTTCGGCAGGAGCTGGAGTGAACGACGGGAGCTCACTCCATCACACAGCAGCACTTGGGTCTAGGACACAGGCTTGTTGATTGTTAACGCAGCATCCTAACCATGAGCCACCATATTTCCTTTCTCTTCACGAGTTCCAGATCAAAAGAACCAATGGTTGGGATAGGGAAGGAATAATCAGGAGGGATCATGGCTTCCTGGTATATTTCCAGGCCCTAAAGAGATATTTTAACTGCTATTCATGTACATTCCAGCTTAGTTATATTTGATGGGATTTAGCTGCTGTATGTGGAGGTAGATTTTCTACCCCATTTCTGTCTCTCTGCATTACAGCCTGCAGGTTTTGGAATGAGCCTTCGCAGCTCTTTGGTAATCAACCAATTCGTTTATTCATTTCCGTATATAGTCAAAATCATTTTTCAAGGGAGAACATGTCAAATGGCTATTCTTTGTAAAGAGGTTCAGGAATAGCAATTGACTTGTTCTCTTAAATAGCGGCACAATGAAGCTGAAGATAGTTAAGCAAAAAAAAAAGGATATCAGATATATGGGGTGTGTGTGTGTGTGTGTGTGTGTAAAACTCCTTGTGAATCTGTTTTCAGCGTATGGTTTAGAATGTGGAAAGCATCTAACAAAATCTCATTTAAGAGATAAAATCCCTCCCTCCTCAACCCTTCAATGAGAGGACAAGTCGTGCTTGTCTCTAGATGCTCATGGCAAAGTTCAAATATTTTTCATTTCAAGAATATTATTGCAACTCTGGGTCAAGAACTCTGCCTTTTTTGTCTTAATTACAGCTCAACTTATGCATGCCTTTTAGATTCTGTCAGTCCCTGGCTAACGTGGCTTTTAACCTCCCTTCAATGTCAGTTCTTACTGAGTCATTTCATTTTACTTTGCATCAATTTTTGCCATTATTACAGCCTTCATTTCAGCTAACTGCCTTTTGCTTAATTTGATGCCGTTTATTTGTACAGTGCCATTCATAGTCAAAGTATTTAAAGTTTTTTCCTATCCTTTAAAAACTAAACCGATTTGTCTCAAGATTCAATTGAACTGTCTCTAAATTTAAGGAGCCCAATTTCCTTGTCATTCTCATTAAGTAAAATGGGGATGGGGGTAGAAAATGGAAATGGGGAAGGAAGGTTCATTGCTAGTACATCTGACTATCTACATAAATGAAAAAAGGGAATGAATAATTGAAACATGGGCCACAATGTCACCCTTTGTTCAAAAGGTTTCTGCCCTCAGAAACAAGCATTTAGAAGGCCTAAGATCTCACTATATCAGTTTCCACCTGATAATGAGGCCTCTAAAAGCACCTTTAGAAGTGGTTGAAGTTAAGTGATCTTGCAAATTTAAGAAAATACACATATACATAAAAGCACCAGGATAACGGTGCATTAAATCTTGTAATTCTAAGACAGGATTTGAAATAGCACCCTTGTTTTCCTCAGTGCAAAACAGAATTGACACACAGATACAAGGTACAAGGTATAACAGTAAGGGTGCCTGCCCAATACAGTCATAAGTCATATCTTGCTGGTCAGTTACATGACCCATCCAATTTTACAAACGTTTTGCAGCAGTTGTTAAGTGAACGCAGCACTCATAAAGCAAATGCATCAGTTGTTAAGTAAGCCCATTGTTTGCTATGGCTTGGTTTTGCTGAAACTGAAATGTGATTATGTGACCGTGGGATGCTGCAAGTGACCTTGTTGCTGAATGCTTGAAGTGCAATCATGTGCCTGGTGGACAATGGCAATCAATGGAATTTTGTATCTGGATTTTAAGTCCCTTTTTGGATCTGTTGTAAGTTCAAATGGTCACTAAGCAACTGGTTGTAAGTCAAGGACTAACTGTAAATGTTAGTCCTGGCAGATCTTTTATTTTAAATACAACTTGTCACTGGATCAGTTGTTAATCCTATTTTACCTGTGTGGTCCTGAATGGGCCCTGTTTTGCTGGTAAGGACTGCCCATCTCAAATCCAACTGGGCATCATGTTCCCAGCGACAGATCGTCTTTTGAGAACTGTAGCCAAATCCACAGTTGAAACCATATGCTGGAAGTTCTTCAGTAATAGAATAATGGATGGCTGCAAGAAACCAAGATGTAATTTGTGAAATTATTATTGTACATTTTCTTTAAAAAAATGTATCTAAAGATAATTCTAACAGACTATCAACAGTTCTTTCTATAGCTACTGCATTGACTTACATGCAGTGATCGGAAACAGCACTGTGCTGGAGTGGGAATGGAATCAATGAGCTTTCCACCATTTTTAAACATTTCCATCATGTCTTAATATGGCATTGGTCCAAATCATTGTATAAGATGGGAAAAACAGATTCTTAACAGTAAAGCTACCATGTCAGAACAATAAGCCTAAGATCTCACTCAATACAGAAGGCTTTCAAGCACTGTTGAACTGGATTGTCTCATGTTGAACTAAATGGATTCATGCATATGATCATCTGAAGCCATAGTTTTAAACTTAAACATCTATACAATAGATAGACCTCCTGAATTCCCCAACCAGCATGAAGTCCGCACATTTTAAATATATCAAGGTTGAGAAATATTGATCTAAAGAACTTACTCTATGAGATCATTAAGTCTTAATTTTGCACCGTTCCTCAATTCCCTATTATACCAGGGATATGGGGGCATCAGTAAGAGGGGAAACTGCTAGAGCTGAAACTCTTCCACATCAGCCAGAGGAATGGTCAGTGTTGCATTGCTCAAGAGGAAGAGATGGGCAAAAGACTACAAGATCCCTTCCATTTATATAGCAATAAACTATAGTTTGGATGACCTGGGGCATGTAAGGCTTTTCTCTAGTTGCATCTAACCATGGTATGAAATGGATCCTGCCTTGGATGCAGCCACATAAAATATGGAACCTTTGCTTTCATTGGGCATGAATAGAAATCATAAATGGGGCAGTAAATTTTATGCTGAGATATTTTCCTGCCAGCTCAAAAACTGGTGGATAGTAACCAATACCGAGATCAGGATTTTACTTTAATTCAGAAGATTCTTACAATAAATATAAAATTTTAGAAAAGTTTTCTTCTGAAGGTTGGACAAATAACTTGAAGGAAAATTTGGAACTTTGTTATTATATACAATATGTTGACAGCAGCAAGACTCTTGTTTGTGTAAAGATGCAAATCCACACTAATTCTCACAAAGGAAGAGTGCATGGTAAAAGTGATGGAGTTAGCAGAGATGAGAAAACTGACTCTTTTAATTAAAAAGAAGATCTAGTTTTGTTTCTACTTGGAAATTTATTTTGGACTTTTTGCTTGGAATGGAAAAAAAGTGAAACCTGGATTTTAAGTTTTGATGATTAAAATCGTTTTGTTATTGTAGGAATAGCTTGATGAATCTGTAAAGCAAAAGTCTGAGGTTGTATTATATTTATATTTTACTGCACTGAAAAAAGTCAGAAGTCACATTTTTTCTCTTTCTGAACTTTTTCTTTCTCTTAATTTTATGATAAAAGTTAATAAAATTTATTTTTAAAAAGAACTGGTAGTTGTACTAACTTAGCCATGTCCATTTTTCCTATGTAAACAGGATCTGCTAGTAAAGACTTTTTTCTCACTTGTAATTTTATTATAAATATGCTATGGCTTCTACCTAAGTTTTGCTCATTTCACCAGATGCATTCATGTAGTTCATGGATCTTATGAAACTGGCTGTGTATCTGGATTCTGTATTTACATCCACTTGTACACCGAAATGTAGATGTTGGTTATGCACCAATATCTGTATAAGTGTATTAACAATACTTTTTTCTTTGTTTCTGTTTCGGTGATAAGCTTCTGAATAAAACTACTTGCCCAGTTATTCTACCAACCACAGCATTCTTATGCAGACAATGCGATAAAGGCACAAAGTACCATGTTTTGCCAACTCTGGGAATCTGCATGCTTCTGTCTTGGATGTCTTCATTTAAAAATATCTGGTAGCAAGGCATAAGAACGAATCTGCTTTGTTAAAATTCCCAAAGAGCTTCTATCAGTCTGCAGACAATTCTAGATTAGACAAGCAGCCAATTCATTGTAAAACAAATCCATGCACTTGATAAATCTTGAATGTAGTATTTTATTTTAGGTAAGGTTTAAAACTCTATTGCAATTCTCCCATTCATTCTTGTATCTTACTGCACAAATGGAGACTCTCAAATATATATCAAAGTTTTCCCTACACGTCTGCTTTCGATATAAAGGGATGTTCCACATGTGGAAACTATATTAACAGAATTTCCTGATGGAGTTCAGAACCTGTCTGGCAACCAAAGAAAACTCTCCACAATATATGAATTCCTGTTCTACATTTAAATAATCTGTTTCCCCCATCTGCTTCCTGAGCTTCTACTTCAAGGATTTCACAGCATTCCAGAAAGGCTATTCCCTGTATTAAAAGAATGATTTGTTATGTTTTGGTTTCATTAGATTTTCTGCATCTCCCCATTGCATTTCCATTCATGTATGAAACAGGTTGATAAACTGCAGAATCAGATAATGGGGTTCATATCTGGAATCTGGATCTGGATCCAGATATGCATCCAAATGCAGATGTTAGTTTTATACACCGAATTTCTTCCAGCAGCATATATCCTTTTCTACACTTTGCACAAGTTACTCATCAGAATGTCTAGTTAGAGAGCCCTGCACCGCTAGAGGTACATGAAGGGGTTTCTTTGCATTTTTCACAATAAAACTAAAAAGAAACATGAAGTAGTTCCAAATAAATATAATCCTTTCACTTGGGAATGTCGAATCAATTGACTACTTATCTATTGACTACTTATCTTCGCTTTTGCGAAGTGTAAATATATTGCCAATGCTGATCAAAATACAGTATACCAAAAAAATTTTTAGATGCTCCTTAATTGGCCCACAAGATGGCAGCAGTTATATGAATAGCTCTGGATAAGAAGAAAGGACAATATGCCTGACAGCCAACCAAGCAGACTATAAAGCTCCTTGTAAAGCATGAAAAGTATGCAACTTCTTTTGATCAGAGTGAGATCATGTTTTACTTTTAGCTTCTCCAAAGTCTGCCAAATAGTCTTACATGAAACTGTTTATTATTTTTCAGGGGAACTTGGAATTTGAATTTAAAAATAAAGTTATTCAACATAATGGTAGATTGCTTTAATCCATAGTTTCAAAATATGCCAAATTCTTTTTTATTATGATGATGAACTACAAGAATGTGTCCATCCCTAACCTTGGATAACTCCCAAATGAATTAATTCTACCTTTTCCGAATAACGAGGACTGTCAAGGCACAAAGACCCAACTAGCTCAATAACTCAATATTTTTTTTTAAATTTTGCTCATTAAAAAAAAAAAGGAAAAGCAACTCCTATAAATCTCATGGGAGAACTGAGGAGCTCATGTTTGATGTATTTTCTTGCTGTGATATTGGATTATAGTTTGCCTTCAACCATTCAGTGCTTTTTAACAGGAATGAGGAAGCCCACTGACAGCATTCCTGTAATACTGTTCTATCACCTGTGGTTCGCATAGCTATATCAGTTACATCAGAACACTTTAAGAATATCATTTTAAACTTTTTAAAAATAGAGGAGACAGAGAGAAGTAGAATAAAAAAGAGAAGAGCTGAACATTTACTAGAAAGTTGTAATATACTAAAGTTGCTAAATATACTTACTATCCCAGTATACAGTTTCTACATGAACTCAGGAAGGCTGTATTATTATTTCAATATACTGCTTATATTCAAGTAGCCCTTGACATATTACCACAATTGTAACCAGAATTCTACTGCTGAGCAAAGCAGTTGTTAAGTAAAAGATGCCCAATTTTATGACTTTTTTTTTTGTGCCATGCTTGCTCAGTGAACCACTGTAACTGCTAAGTGAATCTTGCAGTCATTAAGTGATTCTGGCTTTCTCCCACTGACTGGTTGTCAGAAGCCGGTTGGGAAGATTGCAAATGGTGATCACTGATCCAGGACACTGCAACTATCATAAATACCAAAGACCTGAATTTTGATCACGCAACCACAGGGATGCTGTGATAGTTCTGAGAACTGGTCAAAAGTCATAGTATCTTTAAATGGTTGCAAGTTGAGGTCTAGCTGTATATTGATGCAATAGTTAATTTTAGTATAGATTAAAGCAGAAACACGTGAAAGCAATTGATACACCTAACTAAGCATTTTAACACACAGGGGAAAACATTTTACTACAAGCTCTGCATAGGTTAGTGGAATGTATGTTATGATGCACATGCCAGTGTTAGCTATAGGCAGCCTTATACAGAATTCCCTGTCATCTCTCAGAGGCTGACATAGCCTGTCTTCCACTCTCTGTTAGATGATCACAACTCTCAGCAAATGCCACTTTGGGTTAGCAGAAACTCGCCATGCTGCAAACATCCAAATTATTTCACTCTGTATAATGATTCCCATGCAATCCCAGACGTATATTCTCTCCTTCATCATTTCTGATGCCCGAGCCAATACAACTGGGATACTCTCATACAGCTCCGATCTTGCTTCCTGATTACAAGAACAAAAATAAAAACCCACAACAAAATCCCCACAAACCACCCAGTTTGTATCTTTGTAGCTTTCCAGATAAGCAGCAAATGCAGCAGCATGATAGATGCCTAACAAGCTGTTTAAATTAAAGTTGAGGACAAAATCTCACCATCCAAATCTCTATAAGACTCTTTGAATGCACAGACATACATGCTATTGTGTAATTAAAACAAATCTGGCCTATGAGAGTAGCCAGCAGCTGCATTTCTTGGCCACATCTTGTTCACAGCTGGAACAATTAATGCTCCACATGAGCAGCCAGCCAGCCAAGCCCTTTGCAAAGTCGTTCGTCTTTCTTGGCCCACCCAGTTTTGATACGTTTTGACAGCTTTTCAGTTTTGAAGTAGTGGAGAAACAACGGAACCATCAAACTACCAAGCACCAGAGTAAATCTAACCACGAATAGATGAAATTGAAAATAGTCACCTCTGTGATATATTTCATTTTTAACAGGCATTTTAATTGCTGGAAAGTCATTGAAAAGGATGGATCATGAATTACTTCCTTTGTTTGGAGGGAATCAAGCTATCTGGCAGCCATTTATCAGTTTGCATGTGCTCTTCAGCATTGCCTAGGTGCTTTTGCAAACTCTACTTCTGAAATACTTTTAGTAATATGGAGAACATTGACTGATCTAGTGTATATTAAGAAATGCGAAAGAATGGTCTTAAGGTTAAAGAGTTTGTGAGTGTAAAGATCTGGCTTGGAAAAATTTAGATAAATACTAGATGACAGTAAGGAGATATAGGGAAAAAAACAAACTCTTTTGCCACATGTTGGTTGTACACATTTTTACAGTTCAGATTTGGAAGCCATATTCTATTAAACTGATTGGGAATTCTGTGACAGTAAGATGGGGAAGCAAAAGCATCAGAATGGCATATGTCAAGTTTACTTTTCTTTAATTACTTAATCAACTAAATTCACATAGCATTTTACTCCAACTGTGCTCCAATAGTCTAAAGCTGTGCTTTTCAGGCTTGGCAACTTGAGGAATTCAACTCCCAGAATTCCTAGCCAATCTGAGGAGATCCAGACAAACTGCCAAAGTAGAGAAATACCGGTTTGAAGCGTAATGATGTTCCAAGCTTTCTAAATGCAAGCCATTGAATGAATTTAATCCCATTCTCAAAAAATGCAAGCCTACAGTACCCTCCAAAATGAGATTTAATAAAATGTGCAAACTATTGTACAATACCCTTAATTTTCCATGGGAAATAATACTTAGGATCATCCAATGCAGATGACATTTTCACATGATATTATTGCTGGAGAATTGGGAAAGTAAAATAATACAAAAATGAGGTTTATGTGCTTCATTGACTGCATAAAGATGTTCTACTGAGTGTGTCTTGTCAAGCTGTGGAATGTGCTTAGGAAAAAAAGGGAATTCCAGAACATCTCAAAATGCTCATCTGCAACTTGTCAGGGAACCATGGTACAGACAGTACATGGCAAGACAGATTGGCTCCAGGTTGCCAATAGCAATAGCAATAGCTCTTAGATTTATATACCACTTCACAGTGCTTTACAGCCTTCTCTAAGAAGTTTACAGAGTCAGCCTATTGCCCCCAACAATCTGGGTCCTCATTTTACCCACCTTGGAAGGATGGAAGGCTGAGTCAACCTTGAGCCGGTGAATATCGAACTGCTGAACTGCTGGCAGCCGGCAGTACTGCATTCTAACCACTGCGCCACCACGGCTCTTGCCAAAGAAGTAAAGCAAGGCTATATAGTATCCCTTTATTTATTCAATAATGGACTGGAAGACGATAAGTGTGGTTTTAAAGTTGGAGAAAAAATATTCATAACCTGCACTATGCTGTGACATTTGTCTGATAGTGAAAAAAATGCAGAGGATCTGGAAGGTCTCATAAAAGTCAAGGAACTCATTGCATTAAAAATGGGGCTAAAATTAAATATAAAGAAGACCAAACTAGGGAAAAAAAGTAGAGCATCCAGCCTTAGAACTGACAATAAAGGTACTGAAGTGGTAAATACTCTCTTTTAGATCAACTCTCAATGGTAAAAGGAACAAACAATCAAGGAATATGGCATTGGCTAGTACTTGATACAGTAGCCACAAAGGCCTTGGAAAAAATATTCAAATGCCATGATGTGTGTCTAAACCTACAAATATCAGAATTGTAGAAGCCATGGTATTCCCTGTGACTTTGGACTTTGAAGATACAAAGGTGAAAAGGTACCAATGCTTCTGAATGTTGTGTTGGACAAGATGCCAGAGAATACCTTAGTGATATCTACAAACAAGTAGTCTGCAAAACACTGGTGAGAAAATTTAAGAAGGACATTATGTCCTGTCTTTAGGTTTTTAAAACATGTAATACACATACAAATACAGGTAGAGCTTTGATTGGGCTATCATCTTGATATTTTTACCATAGCCTATCATTACAAAGAAGTACACAGAGAGATTTTTCTGTAATAGCTGTGGGTTACATTTTGTGATTGGCTGTGAGTCACAATGAAAAAGTTAACATTATAGTATTGGTGAGACCATGATTTTTTGATTTCTTGTGTTTTTAAGGTAGGAATTGGAGAAGTGTTTTGGATATTTTCCCCACTTTATTTTTTAAATTATTTTAAACTTATTTTAGGATTTATACTTTCTGTCCCAGTAATGCAGGAAACATTGCAGGAATGCAGTGCTTGTGGAAAGCAAGGAAGATCTGGAATGGCTAATCCTGAGAGTCAAAGATGAAAATGAAAAATTTGGATTGCACCTTAATATCTACAAAAAAATTATGATGATTGCAGATAACACATAGGTCAGAGTGCAAACTGACAATGAAACCATCAAAATTCATCTTTCTGGGTTCTAAAATCATCCAATGTGGTGACTTCAGCCCTGAAATCTGAAGGTGTATAGCGCTCGGAAGAACTGCAATGTCCAGGATGAATAACATCTGGAAGGGTAAAAATAGCAGCCTCCCAACCAAATAAAGATTAATTAACTCAATAATTTTTCCAACTGCTACTTATGGCTGCAAAACCTGAACTCTAAAAAAGGCAGATAGGAAAAGGATAGATGCCTACAAATTGTGATGCTACAGTACATATGACTACTACGCATCCAATGGACTGCAAAAATCATAAACAAGTCCTAGACCAAGCCTTACCAAAAATATCACTCAGAGCCAAGTTTGCCAAACAATGGCTATCATAGTTTGGTCATGTCATATGAGTTCGTTCACTCGAAAAATCAGTCATGCTGTGAATGATCAGTGGAAAAAAGAGAAGGGCCGGCCCCAGTACTTTTTGGCTGGACACTATAAAAGATGACACCGGAATAACCATGGCAGATCTGAAGGAGGTGTTATGAGACCGAGGGATATGGAGAATGCTGATCCATAGAATGACCAAGAGTCAGACATGACTGAATGGCTGACAATGGATGCAGGAAACTAAGTTTTGGCAGCCAGAATGGTCTGCCTGGTTTTTTTACATCTATCATAATTAGATTAAGAGTTAGATTAGCTTTACAGCCCTATTTCTATTTTCCTAATATTGCTCAGAGGTCGCACAAAAATAGGATCATTTTTAAAGAAATACATTTTTTTTGTCTAAGAAATGTGAAAAAAATCCATATATTCAAATGAGAAACCAATAAAAATATGACCCAATAGTATTATAACTTTCACTATATAAGCCTTCAAGATGTCCCAAAGGTGCTTTTTCAAAAGGCAAGTGGACTTTGTTTTTCTCTGAAGATACTTTGCTTCTCATCCAAGAAACTTTTTCAGTTCTTCTAAAGACCTGAAAAACTGAAGAAGCTTCTTGGATGAGATATGAAACGACTTCAGAGAAAAACAAAGCCCAGTGGCCTTTTAAAAAAGCACCTTTGGGACAAGGTGGATGACTGAGAAGCTCCATAGACAAGGCTTCAAGATACAAAGAAATAAAACAATACTGAATTTAAGCAAGCAAGATTATTGTCAAGAAAAAAAAACAGCCCTCAAAGTAATGTTTCCACAAAGCTTTTTTTTAACACTCTGAAGAGATTAAAAAAACAGGATGCTGCTCACAATAGTATATGCTGATTAAATAAATTTGGAGGAAGAAAAATTAATTTAAAACATGGAAAGCATTTTATGATAAGGAAATTCAGAGGTTAAGAGGCAAAATCTTGGAATTAATTACTTCAGTCTGATTGCTTTTTGTCACACTGTTGTCTTTTATGGAAGTTTTTTCATTATTGATACTTTTTTTTTTTTTGCTCATAGCAAAGCTTCAGCATGGCAGAAACACATCCAAAGACACATAGCCTGTGAAATTACTTTTGAGGCTGTGCCTGATTGTCGTTTAATAAAGGAAATGGGAGTAACGGGAGGAGTGACCTTTCCCCCCTTTTTACAATTATTAACACAAAGCATTTAAAACTGCTGATCAGACTTAGAGAATTTGAAGGGGGGGATTTTTCTGTCTCTCCCTTTTTCCCCATGCAGGATAATAAAATAGCCCAGTGAAACTGCAAATTAAGAGCTTTTCCAAGCACTATTAGCTATTGTATTGATTGAGGAGAAAGGACCAGCTGCCAGTAATAACTTTTTTTTATCTCAAGTTTAAGCAATTTGCATAAAATCTTTCAAAGAAGTCTACCTAGGAAAGAATATTGTAAAACTGCCAACTGTGTGATGGGAGGAAAAAAACCTGGCCAACATTATTTGGATGTAGTTTTCCCAGGAAAGTGGATGATATAAATAGTCTGAACCTTACTCCTGTTTTCGATGGCCTTTCTCCCTTTGGTTTGCAAACACATAATGTATCATAGACAAGATATCATGTTTTTCCCTGGAAGTACAGTGTGCAGTTCAGCTGCTGAATATTTTCATGGTATTGTCACAACTTGGCATAAATCAACACCCATTCTTTACTGTATAGACATTTGGATGAAAGAAGAGAAGCATCTATTGAACCGAGCTTAGAATTCAGATGCTCCATTATCCTTCAAACACTTTGAAGGAGGGTAAGTTGGAAGATCCTGCAAGTCATTTAAATTGTTGTTGACACAACACATAATTCAGAAATGCAGTATCCAGAGACAATTATTTTCATAGCCTACCTGGCTGAACTGTAGTATCAGTTGGTACTGGTTTTTCTGTGATCGTAGCAGTGGTACTCCCTGAAAAAAAAATGCATGTACACACACACACACACACACACACACACGGGCACACACACACACACACACACACACACAAAAGTCAAAATCCATCCATTTATCATCTTTATTTATTTATTTATTATTTAAATTTATATACCGCCCTATCTCCCTTACGGGACTCAGGGCGGTGAACAGGTGATAATAAAAATCACAATAAATATTAAGTAAAAAGCCTGCTCTAAAATACCCCATATAAAAGCCCCTACCAAAACACAATCAAAACTACGCCAGGCCGGCCGCATGGAATAGATGGGTTTTCAAGGCTCGGCCTTGAACACTTATTTATAAGTGTTCATGCAAATTGAATCATCAGAGTTATTTTTTCAAGAGACACTTTATTTGAAAAATACTTTATCTTGAGTATATCACAACTTTTTTCATTTTGTCCACAAATTGAATTTAAAATTGTTAGCTAAATGCTATTATTATTCTTCCACTGCAAAATCTGCTAATAATGAAGTAAGAGTCCTAAGCAAGAACAATTGGCACAGGAAACATTTGAAAGACTTTGATTTTGATTTTGATTGGTCCTTTAAAGAGGTCTTTCTAATCCCATTCCTTTGTCTTTGTGTTGAAGAGAAAACGTTAAGGTGACAGACATAATTCTTTCATGTAGTATATTCTCTTATGGAATGTTTTTGGGGAAAATACTGTAATATCCTTGTTATGGAATTGATATTGAGAGCTTGCTTAACTTTGATGACTTTAAAAAAGTAGTTCAAACTACCTAAAAAACTGTAATTGCTTTCATAAAATTTTGGGTGAGATGGAGAGGGAAACCAAGCATCATTGATGTGTGATGCTTTATAAGAATTAATTTGATTTGGGCTATCTATGCCCTCAATGAATCATATATTACAAGAGAAGATAAAACCTACCCCAAGCATTTAGTGATGTTGGAAACTGCACTATCATGTAAGAAGGAATAAATATTAACCTTTCCAGCTACATATTATTTTATTAATTATAACTGGACAATAACTCATCAGGATGAAAATGAAGTCACTTATCTAACAAACCAGATATAAAGCTCTATGAGATAAGAAAATTCCAAACAGCTTCATCAGCTAACCAAATGTAGCTTATATAAGAAACAGACACCATTCTGGCTTTCTGATTTTTGTGGCTTCTTTTAATTTGCTAATATTTAGATATACTATACAGACTTAAATGCATCTCTGAAGTAGGAAGAACAGACTATCACTGAGTTCCAGTTTAGGCAAAATATTAATGAAAAGGAAAAAGTAGTACCCCCTCCTTCTCTGCTTCAATTGTAATGAATTTGCTAAATGGAATTTAGAAGAAAACTACCCCAGGTTATAAATAAACTGGATTTTAGCCAATTGCATTAGCCTATTTACCAATCCAGCTAAGACAGTTAAATTACAAGTGATTAGCATACTTCTGTATTAAAAGGTTGTTTCAGGGGGAGGAAAATATTTCTTTCTCTTTTCTTATTTACACATTGTGTTTTAAACAATAAATTGCAGGATTTTCATTAGGGCTAAAGTTGTACTGCAATTGGTTAACATGTACTTTACAATTGAATACGAATCCATTGTTCTTGTTTTTAATCAGCTTCAACAAAATAAAATGGCACAAAATTATTCACTTATGCATACATATTTTCATGTTTCTCTTTTCAACCTTATTTTTCATCTTTATCTGCTAAATATTAGAATATTTCTGTAGTTTCTCAAGCTATTTATGTAAAACTTGTAAATGTTCACTTGATTTCCCTGTCAAAAACATGAACCTTGGTCGTTGATACATTAATTTTCAGATACCATATTCCTCACTGCAATATACAATGAAGCTGCACTTTTCACACAAGCATTACATATTAACATTTATTCAGTTACACTGTCATCATCATCATCATCTTTTTTTAGAATCTTCAAAAGATCTTTGAGTACAATGGATGGGTGTAGCCTAAAAATTGTCTTTGTTTTTGTTGGACATTAACATTTTATCATTCATTTCATTTCTACTCTTTGACAAATTACTATTTCATATTCCATAATTTATTTTAAATCTGATCACTCTGTTAGGTCTCCTTGGCTCATGCAATAATACTCCACTTCCAGCATTATTTCCATACTATGAATTTTCTCCGCTTTTGTCTAATATTCATATATCCTTGCTCTTTTCTACATTTTTGCAACTCTTTTCTTCTCTACATACTTTGTACAATTTATTTTTCTCATCATTTTTGCAGGAGTTATAAGCACTTCTCTCCTTATCCACAGCCTCTTTCACTACATCATTCCTTTAATAGCCATATTCATATTTCATTCATTCATTCTTTTTAGATCTATGTTTGTTCCTTGACCACATTCATTCATTCATTCATTTATTCATTCAATTACTATAGCTGCCCACCTCAACCAAGTAACTCTGGGCAGCTTACAATTCTAAAATTGTATGACTTATAGACTTATACTTAAACCATGCATTTGAAACAAAGAATTTTTTGTAAGCAGATATTTATCACATAGTCACATTTTAATTTATTCTTGGTCTCCAAATAGCCTGATTGTTTATTTTGTATTTTGTGTTTTCTTATCTTGTACTTATTAAACTGTTCAAGTTGTCTAGCAGAATTGTTTTCCCCCGGCTCTTATTTTTATATTGTTGCATAATTTTCCCCCAAATCTATCATGATTCTTCCATTATCAATATTCATTGGTATCCACCACAACCTAAGCTTAAATGAAATAATAGTTTCTAACATACATTTTATTCCTTTCATTCATAAGTAAAGCTATACCATCACTTCCTGCAATCTTTACTAACCTTCCTAGTTTCAGAGATGGGCCCCAGATATTGAACTTAACTATATATCATGAGTTTAGTTATACCTGTTTTATATTTCTTTTCTGTTAGTAATAGTACCAATCAGTTTGGGCATATTTTAGGTATACATTTGTTCACACTATTCTATGAAAGCTAAGATATCTCATCTATAGGCTACCTATAAACAACATATACTTGTCTACATCCCTCAAGTAGCAATTACTTTCAGTTTATTAATGTCACATATCTAATCAGGCAGGTTTAAATCAAATGATTAATGAAAAGAATTAAAAGGCAGATATATGTTCTCTTAAAGTGCTCAAATTTACAGATATATCAGAGCAAATATATTTAAGGTATGAATATTAAGCTCAACACCTTATTGCAGATGAATATGTCATAATTTTTCTAGTATGTAAGAAAGATAAAATAAGCATGGCATCGGGAAAATGATTTGAATGAAAACAGAGTTGCAATGGAATGTGGATGGTTTCTGCACCTGTCAAATGGAAGTCATCACCTGTTCCACTGTAGCAGTTGGCTTGGTCATCATCACACTCATCTACAGGAATGGTATCAGCAATGGTTGGGACTGAAGTAGGGACTGAAACAAAAAACCCAGCTTAATTCAGCTAAGATAGACTCAAAGGCAGGGCTTTTTCATGTATTAGAATGCATACACATTACCTGGGAATAGTGAGAATCACAGCCCCGGTACTAGTATAGGATTGGGGAAATTTTGAGGTGAAAATACTAAGAATTATTTCAAAGAATAATTCTTTTGAATAAATAAAAGAATAATAATTTAAAATTATTTTTTAAAAATTAATAACTAAAACCAATTTTCAGTTTGGACAACTCTTACCCTATTTATAGGAGGGCAAAGGATAGGAAATAGGATGAGGAAGGTAGATAATTTCTTTTGTGAAATTAAACCCTAACAAATGCTTTTGTTCCTCACAATCTCATACATGGAAGAAAAAAATAAAGTTTACTCCTACTTTATATGATTCTATCAACTATGTAATGTTATTTCAAGATCCATACTTGGTCAAAACTCCACCAGTAGCAGATGACGCAAATCAAATCCAAAGTCACTGTTCCTGATCTTTATTGATATATTGCCAGTTTAAAACAAATTGTAATTTATTTATTTATTTATTTATTTAATTTAATTTATATGCCGCCCTTCTCCCGACAGGGACTCAGGGTGGCGCACAACATATTTAAAACCAGAACATATATACAATCCCCCCCTTAAAACCGAATTAAACCGAATTTTAATGTTGCGTCTTCCGAATATTTAAAACCCAATATAAAATCCACCCTAGGTT